TACACACACACACACACACACACACTCTTTAGGGATTTGGAGAGATGGCTTAGCAATTAAGAACATTGGCTGCTCTTGCAGAGGACCTGGGTTTGATTCCCAGCACCCACATGGTGGCTAACAATTATCCTTAACTCCAGTTCCAGGGGACCTGATGCCTTCTTTTGACTTTCACGGGCACTGTATGACATGGGTGCACTTACATATATGCAGGCAATACACTCATACACATAAATAAAAAATTTAAAAATAAATACTTTAAAGTGTAAAATGCACGGGACCTGAGTTCAATCCCCAGAACCCACATAAAAAGCCAGGTGTGACGGTTAATCTTAGTTGTTGTGCTGGATAGCTTTAGTTGTCAACTTGACACACCTGGGAAGAGGGAGCCTCAATTAGGGAGTTGCTTCTATTGGACTGGCCTTGTGGGCATGTCTGTGGGGAATTTTCTTGATTGTTGAATCATGTGGGAGGGCCCAGCCCACTGTGGGCAGGTGGTTGTATAAGAAAGCAGGCTGAGTGAAGACCAGAGGAGCAAGCATACCTCCATGGTCTGTGCTTCAGCTCCTGCATCCAGGTTCCTGCCCTCAGTTCCTGTCTTGACTTCCCTCAGTAATGAATTGTAATCTGGGATAAGATAAACTAAGGCCTTTCCTCCCCATGTTGGTTTTGGCCAGTGTTTTTCTCACAGTAATAAGAAAGAAACTGTAACAGTGGTCAACTTGACTGATTCTAGAATCAACTAACAGACAAGCTGTTAAGCACACTTGTGAGGGAGTTTCTTTCCCTCCTTCCTTCCTTCCCTCCCCCCCTTTTCTTTCCTCTTTTCCTTTCCCTCCCCTCCCGGTCCTTCCTTTGTCCCTTCCCCTTCCTTCCCTCTCTGTCCCTGGGTCCTCTGGCAAGAGCGGTATGTATTCTTCACTGCGGAGTTACCTCTCCAGCCCCTGCTGCTGCCATACTTAGCTGCCACTAGAACCCAGCTTTTTCAGCTTTCCAGTGTTAACTGAAATGGCTTTCCAGGAATTCTCTAGGCCTTCAGTTCCAGATGGACTGCTGGGGCATCTGACCTTATGGGCTGACCAGCTACTAAGTTCTCAGCCTCTCCAATGGGAAGACAGCTATTGTTGCACTACCTAGACTGTACAGTAAGTCAATGTAATAAATTCCCTTTTAATGTATATTCATTCTATTGGTTCTGTTCTCTAGAACCCTAATATACCAGGTGTGGGGGCACATGATGTGTTATGCTGGAGAGGCAGACAGGTGGATCTCAGGGGCTTGCTGGCCATCCAGTCTAGCCTACTCCACAATATTCAGGCTAGCAGAGAGCCTGTCTCAAAAAAGTAGAGGGGTGGAGAGATGGCTCAGTGGTTAAGAGCACTGACTGCTTTTGCAGAGGACCGGGGTTTGATTCCCAGCACCCACATGGTGTCTATGAATCATCTTTAACTCCAGTTCCAGGGGAATCTGACACCCCCTTCTGACCTCTGTGGCATTGCAAACATAGGTGCACTCACATACATGCAGGCAATACACTCATACACATAAAAATAATAAAAATATATTAAAAAAGAAAAAAACAAGGTAGATAGCTAGGCGTGGTTGTGCATGTCTTTAATCTCAGCATTCAGGAGGCACACACAAATGGATCTCTATGAGATCAAGACCATAGTGAGTTCCAGGTTAACCAGGGCTACATGGCAACAGGGAGATCCTGTCTCCCAAAAAAATAAAAATAAAAAATAAAACAAAACTCAAGGTGGATGACTCGAGGTATTCCACCTCAGGCTGACCTTTGGCCTCTATATGCTTGTATACAAGTACCAACACCCACCCACACACATGCCTACATGCCAAAATAAAATGTAAAATGCTAAATTAGTTATTAGTTTACTCCCAGCCTTTTTACTTACAGTCTTGTGTGTGTGTGTGTGTGTGTGTGTGTGTGTGTGTGTGTAGTGCTAGGGATCAAACATAGACCTGTCAGGGTAAACACTCTACCAGTGAGCTACATCCTCAGCCTAATATCCTCATTTATTTTAATTTTTTTTTTCTTTTTGAGACAGGATCTCCTTGAAGTCCCTGCTGACCTGAACTCACTATGTAGACCAGGCTGGCCTTGAACTCACAGTGATCTGCCTGCCTCTGCCTCCTGAATGCTGGGATTAAAGTTATGCGCCACCACACCTGGCTTATTTATTATTTTTATTTTATGTGTATGAGTGTAATGCCTGCATGTAGGTGGGTGCACCTATGTTGGGCAGTGCCCACAGAGGTCAGAAGAGGGCATTGGATCTCCTGGAACTGGAGTTACAGGCAGCTGTTAGCCACCATGTGGGTGCTGGGAATCGCACCCCCGTCCTCTGCAGCAGTAGCCAGTGCTCTTAATTACTGAGCCATCTCTCCAGCCCCAATATTCTCATTTTATAAGCAAGGGTATGAAATAATCTAGTAAGGCTACAATAAGTTACAGCAGCAGTCCTAGGAATAAAACCGGTGTCAGGCTCTCCAGCTTGGGGGACGGAAGAATTGGCTCAGTGGTCAAGAGTACTTACTCCTCTTCCAGTAGACCTGGATTCGGTTCCTGGCACCCACATGATGGCTAACATGGGTTCACCTGTACCATGGAATCTCATCCCTTTTTCTGTCTTCCAAAAGCATCAGGCACACATGTGGTACAGTTATATACATGCAGGCACTCATACACAAAAAATTTTAAAAAATCTTTAAAGTTTAACTTCCTTTCTAAAACAACCTCTTTTCTCTTCCCACATCACCTTATTTTCATAAAACACTTAAAATGCTGCAGATAGCTTAGTTCTTACTGCACTGGTTTGTGATCTGGCACAGGAAAAAAACCTTCTCTAGCCGGGTGTGGTGGTGCACACCTTTAATCCCAGTACTTGGGAGGCAGAGGCAGGAGGATCTCTGTGAGTTCAAGGTCAGCCTGGTCTACAGAGTGAGTTCCAGGCAGCTGGAGCTACAGGAAGACCCTGTCTCAAAACGACCAAAAAAAAAAAGAGCACTTGATGCTCTTCCAGAGAACCTGAGTTCAATTCCCAACAACCATATTGGGTATTCACAACTGCCTGTAACTCCAGCTCCTGGGAACTCACTATGTAGACCAGGCTGACTTTGAATTCAAAGAGATTGTCCTGCCTCTGCCATCTGAGTGCTGGGACTAAAGGCGTGTACTGCCATACCTGGCTTGTATTTAATTATTTTTATTTTATGTTTATGAGTGTATTGCTTGCATGTGTGCAAGTGCACCCATGTTGTGCAATGCCCTTGGAGGTCAGAAGAGGGCATCAGATCCCCTGAAACTGGAGTTAGGGACAGGCGTTAGCTGCTGTGTGGGTGCTGGGAATTGAATTCCAGTCCTCTGCAAGAGCAGCCAGTGCTCTCAACTAACGAGCCACCTTTTCAACCCCACTGTTGGCTCTCTGCCATTGTGAAGAGATGATTTTCAGCAATATAATCCTTATACATAGCTCATTTACTATTAGTAGATTTGGTTTTGCTATTGATCTCATTAGGTCCTTTGAATCATGCAGCAAAAAAGTACTCAATTTCAAGTCAGAGGATGAGGTCTTGCCCAGCTTTGTCAATAATTTGCTATGTGACCTTGGCAGGTAACTTAACCTTAGTTTTCTCTCTTGGGTTAACCATTATCAAGACAGAATAATACAAAGTTAAAATTGGTAGCGCCGTCAGAGATTGCACAGTACAATTCCTTTATTTTATGGAGAGACTGAATGATTTACCCTTGTCACCTATTGTAGTGAGAAGCTTTTCTAAAACAAGCACTTAGTCTTAGGCATCTCATACCAGTGATCTCTTCATTGCATCAGGCTTTCCTTTGGAGTTGTTTCAAGAAATAAAGAAAAAAGTGAAAGTGCTAAAGAAGTATAAAACTATTTTTAGAAAGCCGGATAATAGTGTTAACTATTAGCAGGCATTGTAGCCTAAAAGTTTACTGGAATATGTACCCCAGCTAACTTACACAATTTAATATTTATTATTTTTAGTTTATGTGTATGAGTGTATTGCCTGCATGTATGTGAGTGCACCCGCATCGCACAATGCCACGGAGGTCAGAAGAGGGCTTCGGATTCCCCTGGAACTGGAGTTGAAGACGGTTTGTAGCAACCATGTGTGTGATGGGAATCCAACCCTGGTCCTCTGCAAGAGCAGTCAGTGCTCTGAGCCATCTCTCCAGGCCCTAACTTATACAATTTAAAAATTAACAATTCTGTGTGGTGGCACATGCCTTTAATCCCAGTACTCAGAAAACAGAGGCAAGCGGATCTCTGTGAGTTCAAGGACAGCTTAGTTTACACAGCGAGCTCCAGGCCAGCTAGGGATACATAGTGAGACCCTGTCTCTAAAAACCACCCACCCAACCAACCACAGACAAAACACAGTTCAATAAAAATGAGTTCTGAAGCCTATATAGGGAAAGGTCAGAAAAAGAATAGATAGAAAAAATTAATGGTGGCTTTGGAGGGTTCCTTTGAGGGAAAAACAAAACTTCCTCAAGCGTATTTATATCCTCTTAATCAATGCTTACTGGTTTATTCCTACTTTGTGCCCGGTGGAATTGGGCAAACAGACATTTCACACATTTCTAAAGGAAATGTGTGCAATAAAGATTACTCGAAACTACATTGTTTGCTTCGCCACTTCCCACTTATATTGAACATTATTACATCATCTGTCTAATTTACACTGTTTCTTCCCAGGTCACTGCCCTAAACAACGCACTGCAACCTGCAAAGCCAGTCATTGCACGGACTCCAAATCCCGAAATACTCGCTGGTCGGGCTCCCCCTCCTGCTCGCAAGATCGACCCTGGCATCTGGGAGTCGTAGTCATCTGGAGTCCGTACTTTCGGAATAGGGGGCAGATGTACGCACCAGCAGAACTACAACTCCCAGGAGGCTGTGCACTCTCATCCCGCCCCGCCGCTCTGCGCTCCGCCCCAGGCCGCTCCTCCCTCTCTGGGGCTGCACTGCTCATGCCTTCCTGTTCCTTGGAGCTGGGAGAAGTTCACTCCGATCAGCTGATCCCAACTGACAACAGGAGAGGAGGAAGCCCGGGAGGCAGTGGAGGAGGAGGGGGCAGAGATGGAGATGAGGATGGATCCGCCGGGGCCCTAGCGCAGCCCCCGTCCCGCCGGTGCCCCGCGGCCCGCACACCGCCTAGCCGCGCCGCGGCCGCAGCGAGCTTCTCCGAGGTGGGATCTCCCGGCAGCTGCTGGTAGGGCGGGTAGGGCACGGCCCAGCATGGGGCGAGTGCTGGTCCCGGGGCGGCGGAGGAAGGGGGGACGGGTGCGGCTGGGTGGGGGTGGGGTGGAATAAACAATGGACTCGGCTCCGGGATGTGCCAGCGTCGGGGGATTTTGGGGGGCCTTCTTTGTTCTTCGGCTGCGCTGCCACCCACTCCTCGGGTGGCGGTGGTGTCCAGGAGGAAGGTAGGGTCGAGAGAGGCGTCGAGGTGGGGGCCCGAGCGGCCAGATTTTTTGCTTACCTGGTAGGGGTGAGGTGTTCTTCTGAGGGTTGATTTATGTTTTTCTCAGTAGTGACAAGTTTTGATTTTTCCGTTTTGGGAGCTGGCTGGGCTTGTCTGAGGTAAGGGTGTAAATAAGGTCCCCTGGTTACTGCTTTCACTGTCCTTGTTTATCTGAAGATCAGATTGATAGATTACTGTAGGGAGGGGTGGATATCTGAAAAGAGGACTTTACACTTTGTTGGGGCAAGGGGGTATTAGGAATGTGATTATAGAAATGACCAAAACTCCTTTCCTGTCCCAGTTGTCTTCCCACCTCCTCTTTTTTTTTAAAAGTTATTTTTAAGTTAGTTTTTGATGACAAAGAAAAATCCTTGTTTTGGTTCCCTGTGGACCTGAATTTGCTTGGACCATAGTTCAGGAATTCTGCCTCCTGTTGCTGCCCCCTTACCCTCCCCTAGAGAAAGAAGAGACAAAAGAAAATACAGAAATTATTTTATTGTTTTTTTGAACGTGAAATTGTGACTCTTGTTTCCAAGTTTAGAGTCCTTACTAGGCTTTTAAATCTGCCTAGAGCTGAGACAGTTCACTTATAAGGGTAATTGAGTCTGTGTACAGGTCTTTGAGGGGATCTAAAGATTTTTAAAAAATATTTTATTTTACGTGTATGCGTGTATTGCCTGCATACATGCACCTGTGTTGTGCAATGCCCAAGGAGGACAGAAGAGGTTGTTGGATCCCTGGAACTGGAGTTATGGACAGTCGTTAGCTGCCATGTGGGTGTTAGGATTCGAACCCCGGCCTTCTGCAAGAACAGCCAGTGTTCTTAACTGCTGAGCCGTCTCTCCAGCCCCCTAAAGTTTGTTATTTTTTCTGAGCTTTCTGTGGACTGCCTTTTCAGTTCTCAGATGTAAGGTGCAGGCAGTCCTGCAGAGGGCTAACCTCCTAAGGACTGTTTAGTAATTTTGAAGCAGAGTTTAATAACAAAATGAGCAGAGTATTTTATTCTTAGGAACAGAGCAACAAAGCAGTGAAGTCTTTTTCTTCTCTTTTTTTTGAGGCAGGGTCTCCCTGTAGCCCCAGCTGTCCTTAGCCCCAGCTGTCCTGGAACTCACTATGTAGACCAGGCTGGCCTTGAATTTACAGAGATCCGCCTGCCTCTGCTTCCCAAGTGCTGGGATTAAAGGCGTGCGCCACCACGCCCTACAAAACAGTGAAGTCTTTTAAAGGCTTTGGGCCTATAAGGATTTTGATTTGTTTTGTTTTATTATTTTGAGACAGGGTCTCCCTGTGTAACCCTGGCTGGCCTGGAACTCACTATGTAGACCAGGCTGGCTAGGAACTCACAGAAATATACTTGACTCTGACTTCAGAGTGCTGTGATTGCATAGGTATGTACTACCACACCTGGCATGGGGATTTGTTTCAGAAGGATCCTGAGCCATGATTTTGAGATGAAAATTCTAGTACTAGAATAAACCATGGTAAGTTTTACAAGCAAGCAAGCAAGCAAGCAAGCAAGCAAGCAAGTTCTCTCAATAGTTTTGGCCTAGTGTTTAATCACTGTGTTTTTGTTTGTTCTTTTTAAGGTACACTTCTCATTTTTTCCCCCTGAATGAGTAGAATTCTTTTCCTTCCTCTCTTTTAGGTATCTCTTGAATACTGACTTGAGGTTCAAGTATACTGAACAGATCTTGACCACTTTATTTCATTACCAAAACATTGAGCTGATAAGCCCATCTTTGTGAAAGCACCCGACGTCTCATAAGCATCAAAGACCTGTCAAGTTCATTTTGTTCACATCTTTCCCCGAACTTTACTGAGGATGAAACCATCACACCAGATCAACATTGCTGCTGATATAAGAATCTTGGAGGTAGAGAATTAAAATTTTGAACATTTGAAGTGTTTATAAAATTATAATCAGACAGGCTTTCTTTTTTTAAAGTGTTCAGAACCCTGTGGAAGCTGCAGCAGTCTTCAGACTCAAAGCCTTGTCTTCCATCCTGGGAAAGCACAGTGACTGTTACAGGGTGGGTGGTTTCCTGAGGAATCTAAGTAATGAGTGCCCAGACTTCTCCAGCAGAGAAGGGCCTGAATCCGGGGCTGATGTGCCAAGAGAGTTACGCCTGCAGTGGGACTGATGAAGCTGTCTTCGAGTGTGATGAGTGCTGTAGTTTGCAGTGTCTTCGCTGTGAGGAGGAACTCCATCGGCAGGAGCGCCTGCGAAACCATGAGCGGATAAGACTCAAAGCTGGTCACATCCCCTACTGTGACCCCTGCAAGGGCCCCAATGGGCATTCTCCAGGTGTTAGACAGAGGGCAGCTGTGAGGTGCCAGGCCTGCAAAATCAATTTGTGCCTGGAGTGCCAGAAGAGGACTCATTCTGGGGGTAACAAGAGGAGACACCCCATTACTGTGTACCATGTCAGTAGGGTCCACGAGTCCCTGGAGGGGGAGGAGATGGATGAGGAGACCAAGAAAAAGAAGATGACTGAGAAGGTTGTGAGTTTTCTCCTGGTAGATGAGAATGAAGAGATTCAGGTAAGCAGTAGTCCCTGGTGGGCCTCCTGTTAGCACAGGGATCTGCTGTTGGAAGGTCCTCTCCACATTTCAGGAGGAATGTAAATTCTAATCATTAAAAACCAAGGCTTAAGTTGCTTGGAATCAAATTTATTTTTTTAGGGATTGTTATTTTTTGATTTGTTTTTATTTTGAGATAGAATTTCATTGTGTAGCTCAGTTGGCCTGGAACTCTCAGCAGTCCTCCTGCCTCAGCTTCCCAAGTGCTGGGATTATAGGTGTGAGCTACCATGCCTGGCTTAGTTTTTTTTTTT